TATCTCGCTAATAATATTCTCTTTTAAGTAGTTTATAGATATATACTATCTCGAGATAACCGTAGAATAATTAATCGTATATCTCTCGAATAATATTAATATATATATTATCGAATATTTATAAACGATTCTTATAATAAAGTATCTCGTCTTATATAAAGTATTTACTAAGAGTAATTTCTTAAAACTTATTCTTATTTTCGACGATAGCCTTATGAATTTTTATATAATATTTATCTTTTTTATTAGCCTCTACTACTTTATAATAGATAAAGTTATTAATTATATATATATCGATATATTCGCTATTTAATTTTAATCGATTAAAAATAAGAATTATTTAATACTATTAACGTAATTATTTATTTTCGAAATCGATTAATTTATATTTAGTTATTTATATAAGTATATTAATCTTAATATTCTAAGATCTAGATTAATAAATAATCTTTATATTAAATTCTAATAATATATTTAAATATCGAATTTAACGTCGACTAAGATTTCTTCTCTTAATAAAATATATTAGTTCTTTATAATCGATAAAGATTTTAATAAAGATATTTATATATTTTAGTTTAAGGCGTTAATATTCTAGATAGCGAATAATTACTAGTAGTTTCTTATCGTAGATCTAATAATTATATTTAGTCGAGATTAGATTTTTACTATAGAAGACTATCGAGTAAAGTACTTTCTTATTATTATATTAAAAAAGAATATCTTCGTTAACGTAGTCGAAAGAGTTAGTCTCTAAAATAATCTTCTTTATTCTATTAAAATAATATAGAATTAAAGCTTTAATAATAACGACTTTAAGAAAGTAAAAGATCTCTTAATATACTAGAGATTAATTAAATATAATCTTCTTTATCGTAAGTTTTATTATAAATTTAACTATTTTAGAGAAGTCTCTAATAAATTATTAATAAAAATTATAAAATTCGATAAAGATCTATATCTCTTTAAGGTTAATAGATATAATTTACTTAATAATAGTCTAAATTTTAATAGAGTTTATTTATAACTCGTCTATAGATATTAATAGATCTAGAAACTTAATTTTCTAAATATAAAATTCGCATTTAAGAATATTTATCTAAAGGCCGATATTTCTTAATTTCTAAAGAATTTATCTAACGTATTAAATATATTTCTTTTTTATCTTATTATAAATAAGTATATTATCGAGATAGATCTAATAGAAGTTATTTAGATATTTAAATAGAATATTATTTATATATTATTAATATATAATCGAGTCGTTAATTAGATTAAAGAGGAGAATCTAATACTTATATACTTTAAGAAAGATAATAAAAGTAGTAAAATTCTCGCTATTAAGATATATATATAGTTTATTAAACGCGGCTATAATATCTAATCGAGTAAGATATTTATATTTCTAAATTCTTATTAAAATCTTATCTATTAATAAAATTAAGTATCGATTTCTTTTAATAATAGCGTTTAGCTTTCGATAGTCTATATAAAAATGTAATTCTTTATTCGACTTTTTCGCGAATAGAATAAGTAAGGCGAATAGTATATAGCTTAATATTATAAATCCCTTCTTTAGATATTTATTTAGATACTTCTTTATCTATTTTAATTTATATTCTAATATTAAATAGATTCTACTTTTCGAAAGTTTTATTTTATTAAAGCTATCGTTAAATTCGAGTTTATAATTATAAGAATAATATAAGAAAAGTATATTTATCTTAGTTCTATTAAAAATATTAAGATAGTCGTAATACTTCGTAGATAGCTTATATTTTATCTTCTTAGAACTAATCTCGTTAATACTATTAATCTAAATAGAGTAGTTAGAACTATAATATCTCTTATATTTCTTTTCTAAATCGTAGAAATACGATTTATTAATCGATATATAAGTTTCGCGAGATATTTAGATAGAGGGAAGCGTATATAATATAGACGATATATTATAGATCTTATTTATTATTAATATAAATAGCTTATTATCTTTTTTACGAGCTAGTTAATAGTAAGCTACTATATTAATCTTAGCGATATTAATAAACTTAGACTTCTTACTATTCTCATTCTTATTTAATAAAAAAATATTTAAATTAATCTTATTATCGTAGATAGATAGAAGAGGATTTTATTATTTTAATATAATAGATAGAAGAGTAAGTAATATAAATAGTCGAAGCTTCGAAGTTAATAGAAAGAAGAGGTCGTTTATTATTAATATTTAATTATTATTATAATTATATCGATTAAATAGAAAGAGTATCTTATCTCGTAATATATTAAAAACTATCTCGTATTTATTTATTTATAATTTTTTAATTATTATATCGTATTTTAATAATATAATTAATATTAGATATATTTCTTCTTAATAATCTTTTACTATTATCGTAGAGAGTAAATAGTATATAATTAATCGTTTTACGATTTAGTCGTTATAATTTCTTAGTAATTTAGATTATAATAGTAAGAGTAATTTTAAATATAAGATCTTATATATCGCTAGAATTAAGAACTTATTTATAACTATATAAGTATCGATATATTTATTATTTATAAGAGAGTTCTAAAGTAAATATTTTCTTTCTTATAAAGATAGCGTAACTTATATACGAAAAGAACGACGTATTAAAGCGTTATTAAGAGTATTTATTAGATATACTTTATAAGTATCTCTTATCGTAACTTTAAAAGAGGCTATTCGTTTTTTAAATTTAAAGAAGAATTATCGCTATCCGTAATATCGACGTTATCGATTTCAAATTCTTTATTTATTTTTATCGCGTAAAGTTATATCTTCTCGAAGGTCTTTTTATTAACCTCGATTTAAGTAGTTATTATATAGTTCTTTTAATAGTAATCTTTCTTATCGTAGTTATAGTATATTAATTTTCTTAATTTTAAATTAATTATAATATTTAGAGGCGTAGTAATTATATTTAAATTAGACTTAATAATAGATATAAGATATATATTAGTCGCGGGTATTATCGTCGATATTCGTATTATAGTTAACTTAATAATAATCTTTATAAATTTAAAATTCTTATAATTAATATATTATAAGTTATTTAACTTTTAAAGATATTCTTTTATAGTCTTTAAGATAATAAAATCTTCTATAATCTATTAAGTCTTCTTTAATTTCTTTCTTAATTTCTTAAAAAGATAATTTTCTAATATAAGAGTTTTATTATAGCTAAGAATAATATCTAATTAAATAAAGTCTAAATAGAAGTCGATAAAGGGTTAGATTTTTTATTATAGAGTATATATATTACGTAATATATTACTACGTCGATTTAAGTTCTTATAAATATTAATTAATTTATTTATTAGTATATATAATAGAATAAGATAGAATTAAATTAGAAAATCTTGAATTTATATATACAGTTAATTATAAATTTAGAGTTATTACGCCCTTTAATTAGATCGGCTAAGTTAGCTTAATAGCCCTCTCGTATCTTTCTTATTAAAAATTTATATATAGAAGTTTTACACTTTAAAGTACTTAGTTTATGATATATATAGTTACTTTATAATTCCTTAAATTGTAGAGCTCGCTTTGCGCTTTCTAACGCTGTAAAAATTATGAAGTTTGGCCTATTATTGGTGGAGCGAAGTAGTATTTAAATATAGTTATACGAAACGCGTCCGGGACCGGATAATCCTTCCACCTGTTTGTGTAATTATTATTCTTTCACCACTCTACCAATTCTACCAATTCCATCAATATGAATACAATCGTCCTCGGTACACCTCGCGGAAACGTTACTAAACGCTTCAGGCACGTACACCTCTTTTTCCCGCCTCTCAGAGCCCCTACTGACTGACGCCTCGAGGCCGCCCCTCGGCGAATCCGCTACTACTGCTCATAAACGCGTTGGAAGGCCCTCGAAAAGAGCCCGAACGGATTCACAGCCATCGTCTTCCCCTACATACTCCTCCCAAGCCAGCGGTACTCGACCTATCGCTCAGTCAACACTACCTACCCTATCAGCTCAGTAATTCACTCAGTCAGATCATCAGCCAGTCACTCAGTTATTCACTCAGTGAGCCACTCAGCTAGCCACTCAGTCTGATACTCTACAAGAGAAGGAGTAAGAGAAGGAACTATAATAGGCAAATGCGGAGAACACTGCGGAGAACACTACGGAGAACACTGCGGAGAAACCAAGCGGCAACAAGGCCATCATCGTCAAGAACACGGCTCAGCTCTCCAAGATCCCACGTCATATGCTCTCCACGGTTCCACATCAAATCATCACTCAGCAAGCGGAGAACACCACTGCAACTTAGCCTGTCATCCCGCCACTCAGCTAGCCACTCAGTCTGATACTCTACAAGAGGAGGAGCAAGAGGAGGAACTATAACAGGCAAATGCGGAGAATACTGCGGAGAACACTACGGAGAATACTGCGGAGAAACCAAGCGGCAATAAGATTACCATCGTCAAGAATACGGCTTAGCTCTCTAAGATCCCACGTTATATGCTCTTTACGGTTTCATATCAAATTATTACTTAGTAAGCGGAGAATATTACTGTAACTTGGCCTGTTATCTCTACTGTATTAATATCAGTATATATAATAGAATAAGGTAGGGCTGAACTAGAAAACCTTGAATTTGTATGTGCAGCCAATCATAAATTCGGGGTTATTACGCCTTTTAGCTAGACTGACTGAGTCAGCCCGCTAGCCCTCCCGAGCTCCCTCATCAAAAATTTGTGTGTAGAAGTTTTACACTCTGAAATAACCAGCTCCCTACGGATGCTATTTCTTCATAATTTCGTAAATTATAGAGCTCAGTGTGCGCTTTCTAACGCTGTAAAAATAATGAAGTTTGGCCTACTATTGGTGGATGAAATGAACATTCAAATATGGTAGTTATGGTAGTCACACCAGACGCGTCCGGGATCGGATAATAATCCTTCCACCTGTTTGTTATTCTTCCACCATTCTACCAATTCTACCAATTCTACCAATTCCACCAATATGAACACAATCGTCTTCGGTACCCCTCGCCCAATTGTTGCTAAGTATCTAAGGCACGTATCCCTTCCGCCCGCCTTTTGAACCCCCTACTGACACCCCCAGGCCACCCCTCGGCGAATCCGCTACTGCTGGCAATCGAGGCCGCAAGCGAGCCCAACAGCTACCTACTACTGCTCATAAACGCGTTGGAAGGCCCTCAAAAAGAGCCCGAACGGATACGTCCTCCCCTACATACTCCTCCTAAGCCAGCGATAGGTGGGTTAAACTGACATTCAAATATTGTAGTCACACCAAACGCGTCCGGGATCGGATAATAATCCTTCCACCTATTTGTGTAACCATTCTTCTTCCACCATTCTACCAATTCTACCAATTCTACCAATTCTACCAATTCCACCAATATGAACACATTTACCCTCGGTACCCTCGCACTCAGTTGAACAAGAGGAGGATCTACAACAGGCGAATGCGGAGAACACTACGGAGAACATTGCGGAGACAGTCATCAGCAGCAGTGACACAACAGGCCTACTCTCCACGGTCTCACACCAATCCACTCAGCCAGTGCAAGAGAAGTCAATACAGCAGGCGAATGCGGAGAACACTGCGGAGAAACCAAGCGGCAACAAGGCCCCCAGCACCAAGAACACGGCTCAGCTCTCCAAGATCCCACGTCATATGCTCTCCACGGTTCCACATCAAATCATCACTCAGCAAGCGGAGAACACCACTACAACTTGGCCTGTCATCCCCACTGCATTGATAACATCGCAAGAGGAGGAACTATAACAGGCAAATGCGGAGAACACTGCGGAGAACAGTACGGAGAACACTGCGGAGAAACCAAGCGGCAACAAGGCCCCCAGCACCAAGAACACGGCTCAGCTCTCCAAGATCCCACGTCATATGCTCTCCACGATTCCACATCAAATCATCACTCAGCAAGCGGGGAACACCACTGCAACTTGGCCTGTCATCCCCACTGCATTGATATGATACATCACTGCAATGAGCACACAAGAGAAGGATCTACTGCGACGATCACAGCCAATTGGGCCACTGCAGAAGGAAGTTCGGACGATACATATTTGGACGAATTGAAACCGTCCGATGTCTTGCTCTGACAGCTATTTCATTATTCGAAAGATTTCACTGCGGCAGGAGATAATGTGGGATTCACACCACTAATTGGCATGTTGTCTCCATTTCTTTCCGGTATTTCGATACTTCTTGCCATAAGGATATGGCCTTTCTCTGTTTTTTTATAGGCAATTATTACGGATCAATCCTCTACACTCGATATACCTTCCTAATTAGGCCTTAGCGCGCCTCTCCGTATATATATGTCTATATGTAGGTTAAAAACGTACAGCAAGCGATTAGAGTTCGATTTGACTTAGGGCTAGGGCTAAAATTCGATTTAACTTAGAAATATTCAACTTTATGAATTTAATTCATAGGTCTTTACTTATAGTATATTACTATAATAACGTTATAAGAGAAGAATCTACTACGACGATTATAGTTAATTAAGCCTCTATAGAAGAAATATCGAACGATATATATTTGAACGAATTGAAACCGTTCGATGTTTATAGCTATTTTATTATTCGAAAGATTTTACTGCGGTAGAAGATATTATGAAATTCACACTACTAATTAATACGTTATCTTTATTTCTTTTCGATATTTCGATACTTCTTATTATGAGAATATAGTCTTTCTCTATTTTTTATAGATAATTATTATAAATTAGTCTTTTATACTCGATATACCTTTCTAATTAAGCCTTAGCGCGCCTCTTCATATATATATATCTATATATTATATAGATTAAATTAATTTTATAATAGTAAAAGTAGATTAAAAACGTATAGTAAGCGATTAGAGTTCGATTTAACTTAGAAAAATTCAACTTTATAAATTTAATTCATAGGCCTTTACTTATAATCTTAATAAAAGATTAATACGAGTTAATAAAGTTTCGAAGTCTTTTATATATTATATATTATATAATCTTATCGCCGAGTTATAAGACTACGTAAATTATTTTAAAGTTCTTAATAAGATAATAATCGCTATTAATCTTAAATTTCTATTTTATTCTAAAGAATTAATTATCTTAGATAAAGTCGCTATTATCGATAAATAGAGGTAAATTTAAGATCTTAATTAATTTCTCTTTTAAATATCTAAGTATATATTTCTTCTTAATTAATAATAGCTATAAATCTTTTATTAACTATATCTTAAGATTATTAACTTTTCGCTATATAAAAGTTATATTCTTTTAAAAGTCTCGAGTTAATTAATTTATCTTCTCGATTATTCTATAAATCTAATATAAATTATTTATAGCTAAATTCTTTTTTATTATAACGATATAATATCGAGTAATAATCTTCTAAAAATTATCTCGCTTCTAACGAATTTTATTTAATATAATTATAAATTCGTCGAGTTAGTATTTAATTTAATATTATAATTATAAATTATTAGCGATATCTTAAAATATATTTATTAAGTCTATCTCGTTAGAAGTATTATCTAATAGAACTAATATTTATTAAAACTTAGTTTATTCTAATAAGATCTTAATTTAATTTAATTTTTCGATATTAGACTTTATTATAGAAAAGAAGAAAGAAAGATTTAAAATAAAGTAAAGAGAAGTTTAAATACTTCGAAAGAATAGATATTAGAAATATTAGATATACTAGAGAATAATAAAGCCTCTTTAAGACGTATTAAAATTATTCGATATTAAGAGTAAAAAATTTTACTATAAAGTTTAAGATAAGGTTATTTCTTTATAAGAATTTAATATATTTATTTCTTAATCGTTTAAGGCGTTAAGAAGATTATAAATACTTTAAATAATAGCTTTTCGAGTATACTTACTTCGCTTAAAAGATTTTTTATCTTATAGAGAAGTTATATATAAAAAAGCTTCGAAGAATAATATCTTTAATTAGCTATAACTCGGCCGTTTCTTATCTAATTAAGATTTTATTAAAACTCTAGACGTTATAGTATATAAAGTTATAAGTAATACTATTAATATATATTTTAAATATAAAAATATAAGATAATATTAGCTATTTCTTTCGATTCGCTAATTATATAAATAATTTAATATCTTCTTTATTTCTTAATTACTATTTATCGAGATCGTTTCGCTATCTCTTTTAGACTCTTTAAAATTAATTTATCTATTTAATAAACTTACTTAGAAATATAATAGCTTAATTTAATTTCTTATTAAAGTCTCTATTAGCGCGTTTTTTTAAATTTATTTATTAATATAAATAAAATAAGTAAGTTAATCTTAATTATAATATTAGAATTAATATAAATATAATATTAATATAGATATATTAAATAAGATAATTAAGATATATTAAATAAGATAACTAAGATATCGAACTATATAGATGAAAAGAAGATATAATATAGTAGAGAATATCTCCGCTAAGGCCCGCTAGTTATAGGGCTGAGGGATATATTAAGAGTACGCTCGTAATATTATCTATCTATCTATCCTATCTCTATAGAAATCTCTCGAATATCGACTACTTAATCGCCTTATTATAGAGGAGATATTTAAACGATTCTCTATCTATCTATCTACCCTACCTCTGCGAAGAGATATTTCGATTATCTCTCGCTTATCTTATCTATTATCTATCTATATTAATAAAGAAATCTTTATCTAATTCGTTATAAACTCGAATTAAAAAGAAACTTATCTTAAATTATTATTAACGATTTAGTATTATTAGACCTAGATTCGTAATTTTAATATTATTATTTAGAATCTTAATATAATTATAATACGACTTCGAGAGTTATAAGACCTTTATCGTTTTAATATAAAGACTCTTACTACTACGAATATGAAATTATAAACTAAAATTTAAGTCTTAACTATTAAAGAAGAAATAATTACTTTAATAGAGTCTCTAGATTTCGATATAGATAAATAATTAATTAAATTGAAAGTTATTAAGATTGAAATATCTATCTCTACTATTCTTATTATCGAAAATAATAAGAAATATTCTAATATATCTTACTTCTATAGTGAAAAAGAGAAGTAGAACGAGTAGCGATTCTATCTAAACTTTAAGTTTCGATAAAGTACTATATTATTTTCTAGTAAAAAAGATAAAATAAACTATATTCGAGACTACTATAAGTTAATTATATTCGATATACTTAAGATACGAGTAGATTTACTAAGCGAGGATCTCTATAATACTATAAAAGAGATAATTTTAAAGCTTTATAATATATTTAATAATTACGATAAGCTAGTAAAGAATAACGCCTTACTTTATAACCCGGCGTTTACTATAAAAAAGAAGAAGATATTTAACGAGTTCTATACTCGATTTTTAGTTATTATTACGTTATTAGACTATAGCGAAAGTTATAAAATCGCTATACTATAAAGACTTATTACTCTTAAACTTCGATTATAAATTATTAATATCTTATTATCTTTCTTTCGCTTAGTTATTAAGTATTTATAAAAAATTAATTAAGATCTTTATTAATTAAAGGCTATATATATAAATATAAAAGAGATTAATAAATAGAAGTTTAAATTAGATTTATAGCGATTATTTTATTCGAAATAGCTAAAGAATTAATTAAAGAAAGAAGGTCGATATTTTAAATATTTTAACTATAATTATTAATTTAATTAGATTAAGATATATATAATCTTAAAGATATTATTATTTAAAGAGATAAAGATTATTATAGCTAAGAAAAAGGCTATAAAGAAGATTATAGAGAAGTAATAATAATATAAATCTTATCTATAGTAGTAGTAATAGATTTCTCCTTCTTTTCTCTAACTAGTAATAATCGTTTCGTCTAGCCGTATATGGCTAGCGTATTTAAATTAGTTTCGATTCGATAAATTATCGAACTTTACGTTTTTAAACGAATTAATCTTATTTAATTTCGATTTTTTTTCGCTTTTTTCGATAATACGCTAAAACTACGAATTTATTATACTATCTCTTAGCACCTTATATTATTACTTTAAGTATCTTTTCGAGCTATTATCCTATATTAATACCTCTATTATCTATATCTATAAGTCTATTATATAAGATTTAACTTAATATTATAATTAGATACTAAGAGTATTTATAAGAAAAAGTTTAAAGTTATTATTTTAGGGGATAGTAAATATACTTTAGACTATAAAGGCTAGTATACTATAAATTATAATAATTATCTCGCTATTATTATCTCGTTATCGTTATAATTTAAATTATAGAAATATAGTTATTTAAGAGAGGGGGTAATATTATAATTTTAACTAATATTTCTTCTCTAGACTTACGCTAGGCTCTATTTAGGCTAGCTTCTTAGCGACTTAATACTCTAATAACTTCGATATATATATTACTTAATAATCTTTATAGTTAATATTTCATTTATATAATACTATTAATATTATTATTCGATATACGATTTATTCTCTAATAATAGAGCTAGTTATAGATAGTATTCTAACTAGTATTATAATTTTAACCGATATTCCTTCTTTAGACTTACGCTAGACTCTATTCGAGCTAGCTTCTTAACGGCTTAATACTCTAATAACTTCGATATATATATTACTTAGTAATCTTTATAGTTAATATTTCATTTATATAATATTACTAATATTATTATTTAATATATAATTTATTCTCTAATATAATATTAACTATTTAATATAGTCGTAAGCTAAGCTATTATTATCTATCTACTTCTATCTATCTATC